TGGCGTTTCAAAATAAAGTAACAGCTAAATCCCGGGCATGGCCGCTCTCAGGCTTCTCTCTGCCTCTATCCAATCATGCGCACGCGCAGAGCATCCAAGTGTTGTGTAACATTGGTTGCGTTCCATTTAACGCTCACACGCTCGTGGAATCATTTCATCCTTGTTGTTTATCAAATGTCAAACAAGGAAAAACTATGCTCGTGAGCGTTGGGAGTGGAATGCAGCCATTGTAATATGGTGGACAACAATAACACCGGTTGACAGCAGTTGACAATTTGCGGACGTGTATTATTGACGGGTGTTTTGTTGGAGTTTCGCGACGAAACTCACCAAATTTCTCCGTGGCAACATCAGGAGATATCGCCGCGCAAACTCAATGAGCACTACGATGGCGAGACAGCTACGAGAGACTCTAGACCCTTCTCCGCGCGCTGGACAGTTACGTCTCGAGGGTCCGCTGATGATTCCCGCCAATTCAACTCCAGGTGCGCTCCATACTTTGAACGTCGTTACGTCGTGCCTTTTCTCTATGTTTCGCAAATTAGTTGTCGTATTTTCCTATGCGCGACTTGTTTTTGCGATATATTTGGTTTGTGCGAGCGTGACGTTGCGAAAATCTACCTAACCTCTCACGCCGGGTTTTCACGAACCATAGTAACTCTGCCAAAATTCATAGTTCGTTCTTATTATAAGACAATCTTAAGTAATGTCTCTAAAATACTAGTATTTTATACTTTGATTGTTATGATCTTAAATATATATATATATATATATATATATATATATATATATAAATCAATAATGGCTAGTATTTATAATTAGTTCTTATTTCAAGATAATTTTAAATTAAAATGCTAATATGACTCCGTGATTATTTTTGACAATTTAGGATTATACTTAAGACTATCTTAAAAAATCAACTATATTAGCCTATGATTATTGTTTTATATATTAAGATGTTTTGATAATTTGTGAAATACATTTTAGCAACATATCGTAACATGGATGTAAGTACGCTGCAGAATTGGCTGAACAGATTACCTGATGATTGGAATTCACCACAGAGCCCTGACGAACTTGTCATTCAAAAGAGAGGTCGACGTAGGTCTATAGTTTGGTCTCCTGATCTTGATACTTACAAACGACATAGTTTGTTTAGGTATAATATATCCGGACGTACATTTATAAGAAAGCTAATAACATGTTTGAAGAAGTTTGATAATTTTTGACTTAGTTTAAGTTCCAGAGACCGCACACCAGTTAAAAGTCCATCGACATCAACAAGAGTATTGAGGGATACTGCTAGAAAGAGGCTTTCTCTTATCGATACTCGTCAATCCAGTTTTACTGTACCAGAGAGTAAGAAGACATCGTTACCTTCTCGAATGTCAGACACAAATACATCGAGAGTACGATCCAATAATAATTTGGCAAATGGTTTGCGTGGTCTCAGTCACGAGCAACTCGTGCAATTGATTATGGAACTGGTATACGCACAAGACGAAGGTACAATGCGTGAAAACGAGAAGCTTTGCAATGTCCTTTCCAAGAAGATGCCAGTTGCGGATATTCAGCCGCTGATAGAAAAATTATTTGTCCTGCGACAAAATATTTATGCCAGTCTTGTATTTATGTCTAATTTGACCGATGATTCCACGTACAGTTGTGTTTACATACATTTGGACGCATTTCAGGTTTGCATATATATTACGATATCAAGTTAAGATAATAAGACTATTTTATTTGTGTGAGATTATTCTCTTCCTTTATATGCAAGAATTTGATCAATTAATAATGTAATTATTGCTCAACTTATTAAACATTAGTAATAATTGTTTTTGCAATTCGTTTCTTTAGAAAGCTCTGAATGATCAAGGAAGAATATTGCAAGAGTCTCAGCACTGGATTTCATTAATGCGCTATGCATTAGAAGCATGGAAAATTACTAGGGAATTACCAGAATGGGAAAATCAGGGTTCCCATAACATTACACGGAAATGCTTTAAGATTTTATCACAATTTTGTACTGAAGCTATAAGAAGAGGGAATTTTGAAACATCAGTTCTAAACATTTACATTGAAAGGTATATAAAATAAAGAGCAATTTTCATTTTTTCTTTTTGTCTATTTTTTTTATAGATTACACATAATACGAGGAAGCATTATATCAGATTTAAGACAGAATTAGTGAATTAATAGTTTTTGAGCATTAATTACTAATTAATTATTTTCAGTCTCGAAACTATAGCCGCAGAATGTGAAGATTTTCAAATTTGTCTACAGATAGCGAAGGAAGCAAAGCACGAGACTTAGACTTTCCTTCTATGAGATCACAAACATGATAATTTTATTTAAATATTTTCCATGTGTGATAGCCTAATATTGACATGTATTCGTATACAGGATGATATTTGCGATAGGATTAATCAATATTAACCAGTGATAGAAATAACTAGTGAAATTGTTGCAGACATAATTTTGAAAATTAAAAATAGAGGAGAAAAAATTTCGAGAGGTAATTTTCTCATGATATCAATTTTCCTTTCTCTCGAAAAATTGAACATCGAAATAATCCTCCTGAAGAATTCCATGTCACTGTGGTCCTTTTGTGTCTGTGTGACTGCAAAATGTGAAGTGGTTGTCTCCATACAACTGCATATTTTTGTTTTTGTACATATAACATTAAATATTTTTAATTATCCTGTATATGTATATATATCGATGTGAAACACAAACGTGTTTTATATTTACATATTTATCCAGCTGACTGCGCTTATGCATACACTGACATGTGAATAATATATATGAAAAATATACTGATATATATTATTCACTTTTTCGACGTTGGCTGATACAAAACAAATTGAATTTGTTTTGATACTCTCTTTAAACGTTTTTATTTTAAAGGCTACAGATAATTTATATTAACCCATAGATGAAAAAAATTGTTAACTTATTGATAATTGTTAGAGTAAAGTATAGAAAAAATAAGTACAAATTAAAATTTCTAATAAAAACATTTATTGAGAGTACAAATGGTATTGAGAGTAATAAAGAAGCGAGAGATTGCTGCTAAAGAAAATTTTATGCTTCATAGAAATCAGTAGAAAGATCAAACAGTAGAAACCATTTTTCGTTTAAAGAAATAGTTTTATTAATTGGTATATTTGTCAAAATGTAAATAAAAAAGAATAACTTATTTAGTCTGGATAATTTGCATAAATGATATCTTAATTTTGTCGTAAAATTGTCTTGTGTGCATTTTTGCTTATACTTTTACCTGTTATAAATTATACATTCCTCTTTTATATAAAATAAATTTACTGAAACAAAGATGTATAATTTAGTGTGTATAGAATCAAAGACATGTTTTTATATGTTATGCATTATTCTGTGTCGTATTGTACAGCAATCTTTCTCTATTTATTAAAACTTAATATATTTAAAGGTATCGAAATCATTGTATATCGCCGAATAATATTTTTATATATTAGAGTATTTTTATACGACCAATGCAATTGTAATTAGCGTTACTATGTATTTATAATGTATTTTAACGTATTTATTGTAAATCGTACAGGGAATGGACTAACACAAAAATCGTATTTTTTTTATTAAAAACAATTTATTCGTCATAATATATCGTATTTTCTTACGTAATCTATCCATTATTACTTTCGAAAGGCACATATGTCACTTGATAAACAGTTAGAAATCCTCCAAGCGACTCGCATTCGCATATATGATACATCTGTACATATCTATTACAAGAGCACAATAGCGATGCTTAGAAAATTCCTGACAGTGGTCTATTCAATCGGGAGACGATCGTTACCTGGTACATGCCCATCTAAGTATTATATGACAAATCAGGCATTATATATACACACACACACACATACATATATTTATATATACACGTGTGTGTATGTGTATATATATATATATATATATTTATGTACATATCGTATCAGTAATATGGTTGGGCACAATCGAAACGTATCATCGATATTTCTTTAGTACTCTATTTACGTTTTTTCATATAATTGCACATCGTCGTTTGAAACACTAACTCGTATCGTTTATCGTGCGTATCGGCAAGATTATGTTACGCGTCGTTTAGGAACAACTCTAAAAGAAAGATCGGAGATCGAAAAAACGAAATCCGCGAGACTCCAACAATCCATATCAAAATATCCTGAGCAAGTAATGAAACAATATAATCTGACCTCATCTAAACTTAAGCATTTAGGTGAAGCAAATTAAAATGATAAAACTTGTAAAGCCAATGCTCACGCATAAATCACAGGATCTAAAATCGATACAAAATGGACATATAGCATTTGTAAAATTTTCAGACAATTATAAGGAAAATATTCGCGCGCAATTATTTTCTTACAATTTATCAAATTTGGAGACATACAATATCTTAAAAACTAAAGGCTTAAATTAAAATTTTGTACAAGTACAAAAAGCAAAAGTAAAATACTTTATATTAAACAACGAATAATATTTCATTATTTATTTGCATATCTAAAATTTAACTTGCTACAGGGCGAGAAATCCATTAATAAGAATCATCTCAAAATTTCACAAGAATTAAAGCTATGCGTGCACTTTTGTCAATCCCAGAAAAGCCTGTGTAATAAAAAAATAAAATTCTTTCTTCGAAACAAATCACAATATCCGAATAATGTACATTAAAAGTATATCGTTATATAAATAATTTAATGATTTGCGAGTGCAAATGAGACATGTCATTGAGAGAGGCAACATTTCTCTCTCAATTCTTAACTAAACTTTCAAATAGAAAGTTGAGTTGAGAATGCCTGTGCAGCTATAAATTGACAAATGTAAAATCGGACAGACATCCGGCCAATAGTTGTGCAATCTGTTATTAAAACATCCTATGAAAATGTGAAAAAAAAAAAAATAATAGAGGAAAATGCATTGCCATATTTCATACATCGCCAATAATTATGGATGACGTGTATCTGTACGATCATTCGACTCGCGGATCTATGCTAAATCGTAGCCGATTAAAATCATTGAAATCCACGATGACGCAATCTCATTCTATGAGCTATAAGAAAAGTGACATACGTGTGCTGTGTAATTAGAAGATTACTACACTTGTTAAAAAATTGGGTAGATTCCCGCTTCGCGATATCCGTATCCGTTCGGATGGCAATGCTATTAAATATTTACTAAAGTGCCTATGTATCGTGTTATCAGTTATAACAATTAACAAGATAAAGCTGCAAATCGAATACTGTCGTAATCATCGGATATTCTGCGAACATTTTAATCAACTGTTTTCGCTGGCTGTACTCTAGGATATAACTGAAACATATAATGCAACATTTTTATGTTTCACACATACACTGTTAGAAATTAGTAAAAATATTTAAAATGTAAAATACTATGTAGAGAGAATTTTGTATCATACAAACTTTTTAATATATATTTTTATACTTAAAAAGTAATATTTAAAATTATATACTTGAAATGTAGAGAACTGGAATTTATTTTTCTCGTACATAAAATTTTTTGAAGTTTATTTTTTTTATTTAAAATATATTTTGGTATATTTAGCAATATTATATTTTTTGATATTCGTGTATCAAGTATATTTTTTAAAAAATTTAGTATTTTGATATAACATCAAATGTAATTTCGCGATATTTTGCTCAACTTGAAAAAAAACTCGCTTATAATCAGTCGCGTTTATAATCAGTTATACTTACCCCTAATAAATTTCGAGGTACGTAACCTTCTTTATGTCCGAGTTTGCTCCACCACCATTCCCGTTCGTTATCATCCCCCTTCCGAAGTACGACTACGGAGTCGCCGTTCTTCAATGAGAGTTCGTCAGCGTGTTGTGCTTCGTAATCAAAAACCGCATATACCTGGCCGTTATTCATAATCCCCAATTTTTCTTGAACACCTGTATGTGTAAAAAGACGTTTTTTCACAAACGTGAAATCTTTTGTACTATAATTGATTTTAGATTTTGCTTCGATGATACTGACTGTACAAATACTCCGAACATCCGTCGAATCCTTCTTCATCCTCCTCACATTTTTCCGCGGCGGTCTCATGATCTGAAAGGGTGGTTGCGAAAATGCAAGCACCATGTTCAACCAAAAATCTCACCATAGATAAATTATTACAACTGGCGGCGCAGTGTAACGGCGTCCTAAGGGAAACATATTAAATTTAAATATTTATAGTAGATTTAAAATATTTTGCATATAAACTAATAATTTTTTTAGAATGATACATATTATAATAGACTTTAATTTTTATATTATAATATGTATAATCTCTTTTAATTTTTTAATAACGAATCTTTTTGGGATCAGATTTTTTTAAAGAGTTTATCGAAGATCATATTTTAATTTTCATTTATATTACATAATATATTTTTATAGACTTTAAATAAAAAATAAAGCTACTTGAAATCTAGTAAAGAATACAATTTCGTTTAGCAAATTATTCTCTTTCACGCAATTGTCGAAAAAAAAACACAGTGTTCAATTTACCATCCATCGCTGTCCTGGGCATTAACGTCGCAGCCGAATTCTACGAGGAATTTGACGATCTCGAGGTGACCGGCGCATATGGCGTTATGCAGAGCGGTAATACCTTCATCATTGGCGGAGCTCGGATTGGCGACCTCTTTCGCGGTTTTCTTTACGAGCTCGAGTTCTCCCTCGAGACTAGCGTCGAGTAGCAACGCCAGTGGGTCAAACGACACTCGCCTGGATAGATTGACCTTGCCACCACTGCCTCCTGTGCTCGTCGACTTAAGATTTCCCTTCTTTCTCCTCATTACTTCCGATATCTTGCTTCCGTCTATCTCCATTTCACCCCCGGTTCCCCCGGTCAATTCCGAATCGGTCTTCATCTTCGACGGCTTATCCTCTATGTTGATTACATTCAGAGCGTCGATGATATCCGCTTCCTCCAGTCTCTCACCGTCACCGTTATTATCTTCGTTGATAATCTTGCAACTGTCCGTAGTGTCTATGATTTGCTGTTGATGTTGCTGCTGTTGATCAGTCTGCATGAGATCTGCCGGAATTTCTGTCTCCGGAAACAGGAAGGCCGGGGGCATCTCAATTCGGCGATTTATCGATACGTGAACATTGGATTTGGCGTATCTCAGCTTCGGTTGCTCTGATATCGGTACTTTCTTCAGCGTTAACGGCCGAGCTTTGATAATCTGATGATTAGCCAGCTGTGTTTCCGTAGGAGATTCAGGCGGTTCTGATGTAGGAATCGGTGGTATATCCTCGTCTTTATCCGATCTGTGAAATTTATAAAATCAAATTTGGAAATTAGAAAATTAATAATTAATTGGATTATTATTATACTATATTGATTACATAGATAAATTGAGAGTGATGAAAGACTGTAGCTAATTAAACTAAATTTTATTTCCAAATTAAATATATTAATCTTAAAAAATTAATTTAAATATTGTGCTTG